CCCAGCCCTGCCTGAGGAGTTTTCCCACCCTGGGACGGCTCCTGGGCCGAGCTCCTCGCCGTGCTCTCCCGAGCATTGTCCCACGCCACAGAAATCTGGAGGTCTTAAAGGAGGGGAGAGGAAAAAAAAAAAAAGAGAATTAAAAATTGCTGCACTCGGGGAAAAATTCAATGGCTCATTGAGCTGTGGAGCTGCTGCTCAGGAAGTGTAAAAGGAAAACGGAGCCAGCTTTGTTCTGCCCAGACAAGGAGTAAATGCCACGGCCCCAACAGCCACTCTCTGTTCCAAAAAAGCATGAGGTCATCCCTAAAAACAGGGATTGACACTGGGATACCAGTCCCAGGCTCCCCCTCTGTTGCCCCCCCCTCTTTCCTGGCACCAGCCCGGCTCCGGGATCGCTCCGTGTGGCTCCGCTCGGGTGCCTGGCCCTGCTCCAGGAGGGGATCCAGGCTCCCACCTGGGCAGGAGCAGCTCCCTCCGAGCAGGGGGGGCTGTGTGGGGGGCTCGGATACCCTGGGGCTTCAGCCAAGGTGGGGTTGGCTTCCTGCAGCTCCAGGTTGGGGTCACACGGCACGGGGGGCTGCAGGGGTGGGGCTGCGCTTTAATTAGCTGGAAACACAGCTTGATTGAGGCCGAAATCCAGGAGTGTGGCCTGTCCTGACCATCTCCCCACATCCCTTCCCAGCACGGTGGATCCTGCTCCCTCATCCCACCAGACCCCGCTCCCTCATCCCACCGCCCCAGGAGGGGAGGGTGCAGGTGCTGTCCCAGTGCCTCCCCACAGGGACATCCACAAGCACCAACCCCACACTGTGAGCAGGTGGAGGGGGAAGGAAGAACAAAAGCAGCGTAACCCGGGCAGTTGCTCAGGTGCTCGGTGTTTCTTCACCCTGCGAGGCGTGGCAGCTGCCAGCTATGAGAAGTATGGGAAGAATTCCCGATCGAGAGGGATCAGTGCATATTTGTCCCGTGCCGTAACTCCTCCTGCCGCGGGGCCGGAGCGGGCGGGTGGCACCCGGAGGGGCGGGAGAGAAAGGGGTGATGCCAGGCGGTGATGGATGATGGTGTCGGGCAGAGCAGGCCGGGGCAGGCCCAGCTCCCCGGGGCCGGTTTCGGCCTCGTGACCGGGAGCTGTGTCGGGGCAGGGCCCGCGCTCGCTCCCGCACCTCGCCCGCGATCCCGATCCCGATCCCTGGGCGCCGGGGCTGGGATGGGGCTGACAGGGCAGGGGCTGCCCGGAGAGCTCTGCAGGAGGAGGCGGCTGCTCCTGCACGGAGCCGCTGCTGAGTCACCGCCCGTCAGAGCCAGCGCTGTGTCACCGCTGCTGTCACCGCGCTGTCACCGCTGCTGTCACCGCGCGGCTGCTGCACGCGGCTGACTCAGGAGCTGCGCGGGTTCGGGCTGTCTGTTCCCGGGAAAACAGCCCAAATGAGGCCTTGTGCAGCCTGCCTGCTGCAGAGCCAGCTCCCTCGGGAACAAGGGGGGCTCTGTGAGCCCCGGTGGGTGCTGCCCTGACGTCAGGGCTGTGCAGGGTGGGCCCGGCACAGCCCCCCGGGTTCCCACTGTCCCACCTGCTCGGAAACGCCGGGCAGCCTTTTTTGGGGAGGGACGGGATGTGAACGCAGGACTCGGCGTGATCCTGGAAATGCTTTTTGTTCAGTGATGGAGCCCAGCCCAGGAGAGGAGATCTGGGGCTGATCCGGAGTCAAACCGAGCTGGGGCAGGACGTGGTTCTGAGCATCCTGACCCGCTCTTAGTCCATAATGTGCAAACCAGCTGAAAACAGCAAATCCTGATTGTTTCAGGATGTGTCCTGACTGAACTGCTGGGCCTCAGCCTTCCAGTGCTTTTCCTAAAATAGGCAGGAGTGTTCCCAGGATGTTTGTGCTGCAGCCAGAGCGTCCCTCAGGTTGTGTTTACGTCACTCCTGAGCCCGCTGTGCCCCTCACCTGCACTCCAGGATCCTTGTCCGGGTTTCACAACCTCCCTCAGGGCTGTTTGTGTCGGCCTTGACCTTGGAACACTCCTGGCTGATCCATCACTGCCCGTGCTCTCGTGTTCTCCGAATTTCTGTTAAATCTCAGTGGTTTTAGTGCTGCAACACTGAACATCTGCCATCCTGCCCCAGAGGTGGGAAGTCCTGCTGCAGCCCCAAGCCCTGCTAATGCCTCCCTGGCCTGGGCCCTGCCAGATCCCTCTGCTGCCAGAGGCACAGGGATAACAGCCCGGAGAGCTGCAAGATCTGGCGGCTTCCCCCCTCCTGGAGTCGCTCGGTGCCAGAGCGAGCATCGAGCTGACGTGGTGGTAACGCAACCAGAGCCCTTCCCGAAAACGGGGCTGTGGTTCTGGGCAGCCCAGGAGCGCTGCCGGGGACAAGGGGAGGGCGGCTGAGCCGGGAAGGCAGAGGGTGCTCTGGCAGAAGGTTTATTTTTGCTGAGTGATGCGTGCAGATGACTCAGCATGAGGCTGTTGTGCCGAGTCACGGCAGCGGGACGGGAACGGCCCTGGCAGCGGCGGGAGGTGGGTCTAGGCCAAACTCTGGAGCCTTTGCCCCTCTGGCAGGAAGGAGTCCTGGCTGTGTGGGTTGTTTCTGCAGGGCCAGGCACAGGCAGGAGGACGAGCAGGAGGCTGGGGTGTCCTGACTGCCCTGGCCTGGCTGCAGGCGTCACATCCCCGTTCTTTCCCTGGCACCGACTCCTCCAAGATGGGCAAAGGGACGTCCAGACCCAGGACGGTCCCCTGGCTGACATCACCCATCCCCACCCCGCTCCTGCAGGGCCACTTTCCAGACTCCTTTACCTCACAGGGTAGTCCCGCCCCGCTCCGAGTGACATCTCCACGGTTTGTTTTGGCCTTTGCCAACTCCCGAGGACGTCCCTGGGGAGCCACGGCGGGTCGGTGGATCGGTGGCCTCTGGTGCCAGTGACGTGCCTGGTTAATTGTTCACCCAGGGAACGGGAGCTGCTGTGCAGCTCCCGCCGGGAGCGGCCCCGGAGCGGGGCCGGGTGTCCTGACCCCAGGGCAGGTCCTGCCGTGGGATGGGGGAAACAGGGATTCACTGGGGGGGGTGGGGAGCTGCAGAGCAGTTGACACAAAACTTCTGCCCCCTTGCCAAGGACTTTAAAAACACTCACTTGGCAGTTCCTGCCACGCAGCAGGACTCTCTCCACGCTGTTCTTCCTGCAGCCAGGCTTGGTTCCCTGGGATGCTGCAGGGACAGGGATGGGGATGGGGATACAGGCTGTGCTTCTCCCAGAAGTCCCCTGGGGTAACTCGCCCTCGGCTGATTCATCAGCCTCCTTCCATAAACAGGAAGCTGGGAAAGTACAGGCAGGTGATCCTGCGCTGCTGCAAACATGGAATACTTGGAAGCACAAACTGCTTGGATTTTTTTTTCTCCCAGCTGCTCCTAATTCCTCACCCAGGTGCACGTTGTTTTGGGGAACTGTTTGCAGCAGGAAGGTCTCTTGAGTTCATAGAATGGATTTAGAAAGAGCTTGACTGTGAGACGGAGCTTTTCCTGCTCCTAATCCCGCCTGCACCCCTTTGGAGCGCTTCAGGCTGGAGCAGGAGAGCAGGATCCTTCCTTGGGGACCAGCCTGCTTCCTTCTCCCATTCTGCAAAGAACCAGACTTGGTTTCGCCCCTGTGTCTCCCCGTGTCACCCTGACTGACGCCTTCCAGGGCTGGAGGGGCGGAGATTTCCAAATAACCCCGCCGGTTCAGGGAATCGTCCCGTGCTGGAGCCGGGAACGCCGGCTGGAGCGCTGCTTGTTTTCTCCCACAGCGTCCCGTGTTCCAGGCTCTGCTCGGGGATTGAGGAGCTCAGCACGTGGTGGATGCTGCTGCCAAGCCAAATAATCCCTGAGAGTGCCCCTGTGGTCTGGAATAAACTCCCTTCATGTCTAAACGCAGGCGAGACAGCCCGAGCCTGCGAGGATCCGGGATGGGGCAGGAGCTCCCGCCCTGCTGCCCCCGGGAAGGCTCAGCTTTGAAGCTGCCGGGCCTGGGGAGGACGTTGGAGGAGCCTTTAATTGAAGCAGGCACAGGAGGGCTGTGGTGGGAGGCTGGAGGGGCCCGGCAGCGCCGCTGGATCCGACGCCGTGTTTGCTTTGGCTCCTTCCCCCTCCCGGCATCGTCTCCTGGGCAGTGGGAGCTGCACCCCCTGCCCTGGCACTGACTGGGGTGGGGCCGAGGCAGCGCCAGGCAGGGCGAGGAGGGGCTGTCCTGTCACCTCTGCAGAGCCCCCCAGGGATCTCACAGAGAAAACAACGTGGGAATGGTGCCCGTCCAAGGGATCCGGCATGGCCGGAGCTGCCCCCAGAGCGCCCGGCCCTGGCTGCCACCCCACAACCCGTGACAGGGCTGATTGTTTGGGGTCAGAGACAAACTCCTTCAGTTGCTGCTGCTGCATTTCCAGGGAGGTGGTTTAACCACTGCCTGCTCCTGCCAGGGCGTCCTGCTGCAGCAGGGGATGCAGGGACACGGCCCCACGGGAATGGGGGACAGGATCCTGTGTGCTGATCGCACCCCACCCCACAGACACGGCCCCGTGTGCAGCTGGGCCCTGCCCAGGTGACAGGGACACTAAAACCCCACCCCAGGGATGGTGCAGATGGGGGTCCATGGGAGCCCCCCCTGGTGCCCAGCTGGGTGTGGAGCCCCAGCAGAGTTTTGCTTCTGCGGAAAAAAAGGTTCCGATTTTTCCGCTCCCGTCGGCAAAGTTCGTGCCGCTTCAGGGAAAGGGGAACTTGGAGCAGAACCAGGAAACGTTCCACTGGTGTCACCAGAGCTCCTGGAAGCCCCTTGCACGTGGCTGTCAGGGCGGACCCGGTGCGTGGCCCTTCCCAAGATGGAAGTGGAAGGTGACCCCGAGGCAGGGGCTGGGACTGGAGGGGCTTTGAGGTCCTTCCCCACCATCCCAGGATTCCTGGACGGTGCACGGGGTCACAGCAGCTCCCTGCGCGGTGCCAACCCCCGTTTCCCCCTCTCTTCTTGCAGGATTCTCCTGTGCTGGGGCCCGGAGCCGATGGCAGAGAATGTCAACAACTAACAACATAGCACAGGCCCGGAAGCTGGTGGAGCAGCTCCGCATCGAGGCCGGCATCGAGAGGATCAAGGTGGGCGTGGGAGCGGGGAAGGACCCTGGGAAGGACCCTGGGAAGGACCCTGGGAAGGACCCTGGGAAGGACCCTGGGCAGCTGCTGGGGGATCTCCCATCACTACTGTGATGCCTCCAGCTGGGATGCTGCAGCATTCCAGTGTTCCAGCATTCCCTCCGGGATCCAAAGGAGGATGGAGAGGGACTCTGTCAGGAACTGCAGTGACGGGACAAGGAGAAATTTAGGTTGGATATATGGAAGGAATTCCCCCCAGTGAGGGTGGGCAGGCCCTGGCACAGGTTGCCCAGAGAAGCTGTGGCTGCCCCTGGATCCCTGGAAGTGTCCAAGGCCAGGTTGGAGCAGCCTGGGATAGTGGAAGGTGTCCCAGGATGGAACTGGATGAGCTGTAAGGTGCTTCCAACCCAAACCATTCCAGGATTCTGTGACGAGTCTGAAAGCAGGAGCTGGAGGAGCTCCTAGGAGGGTTCTCAGCACTGTTGCTCTTTCCCAGCAAAGCCTTTGGAGCACTCCCAGCTCCAGAGGTCAGGAAGTGCACACCCCCCTCCTCCCTCCGTCTGGGATCCTGGAGCTGAGCCACCCTCGTTCCCCTGGGGAGACTCAGCACTGCCTGCTGGGGGAAGACCTGTAATTTAGCTTGTCTTCCCTAAAAAGCCTGGCTGGAGCCTGGAAAGGCCCTAAAAACAGCTACAAAACCTCATGGTTTAAAAAAGAACCAGCCCAGGTTGCTCCAAGCCCTGTCCAACCTGGCCTTGGGCACGTCCAGGGATGGGGCACCTCTGGGACACCCTTTTTGAGGAAAGGACAGGAATGAACATTCCAAATGCCCTCAGCACAGAAATTGGGATCCCGGAGCAGAACTCGCTGCAAGGAACGAGGTCAAGGCCGTGCTTAAAGCAATTAATCCCTTAAGACATTAATTACCCCCAATCCCAGAGGGGAGGGATCGGCTTGGCCCTGTAACCACGGCGAGTGGCCTGGAAACCTCCACATCCCCCGGGACACTCCGAGGGTGGGGGAGAGGGGAGGGATGAGCCAGGGGTGGATCTGGGAATGATCTGGCCCCTCTGGCACCAGGGAGGAGGAAAATCAGGGCTCTGCAACAGGTCTGGGCCTCCCAGTGTGCTCTGGTTCTGTGTTTGTCCCGTGATTAAAGGTCATTTGGGAAAAAAAAAACGGGATCTGTTGGTCTCCAGAGCCCCTGGCAGCTCCCTGTGGGCTCTGCCCCTCCTGGGAGCCCTTCCCAAAACCCAGCTTTGAACTAAACCAAGCAGAGCCTTGAGGAACAGTTTCCAAGGGTTTCCACAGCCCTGTTTTTAACATCAGAGGCTGCACTCAGACGGGCCTTTCCCTTGCCTGTTCATCCCAGATCCTGCTCATCCCAGATCCCTCACAAACAAGGGCAGCAATATCTGCTCTCACATCTCTCAGCCGGCATTATTTCCCCACACCCATCCCTTCGTTTTTGCCAGGCCACGAAAACAAACCCATTTCCCCGTCCAGTCCCCCTGTTTATTCCCCCCCATCCCCATCATTTTCCCTCAGGGAAAGCCAGGTTCCTGCTCCCTCCCTCCCCACGGGAATCTCCCCCCCCCACCCCGTAACCTCCCGCTTTCTCCCGACATTCCAGGTCTCCAAAGCGTCCTCCGAGCTCATGAATTACTGCGAGCAGCATGCCCGGAACGACCCCCTGCTGGTTGGAGTCCCCGCCTCCGAGAACCCCTTTAAGGACAAAAAGCCCTGCATCATCCTATAGCTCCGGCACCGCCCCCGGATCCCTCCG